CTTTGCATCTGTAATTAAAAAGATACTCATACAGTATGTCATCACTATTGTGTTGATTGATTAATTCCAGTCAATCGTTTTGGATTAAAAAGGCCTAGCCACCTGAAGTGTGAATATAAACCAAATTTGATCACGTTCACATTTTCTCAGAACACAAATAAATGGGCCTATTTTAAATACATAGCTTAGGCTATAAAAACATGATGTTACGTTTCCTCTGGACAGGCCCAGACAGGATCAGACCACATAGGCTTCTTCCTGCAGCTGTGGTTGTTATCAGTAGGCACAGACTAATTGTGCAAGTTGACAAATCATGAGGCATTTCATTTTATTACATTTCTTTGGTGGAGGGTATGGGCTTCCATATAAAAACAGCTCATCACGGTTAATTCCCTTATGCCCACGTTTTCAGTCGCAAATAGCTTTTCCACATGTAATGATTTGCATGATATTGATCAAAATGAAGCCTGGTTTGTTGTAATGTTGTAAGGTAGGCCTAATGTTTGTGTGAGAGGGTTAACCATTCATTTTTGATAGGCTAACGTTACTTTATGAAGACATGCTGTTTTAGCAACTGTGTCCTTTTGTCTTGAAGCTAAAATGTAATGAGTGTAGCCTATAGACGAGAAGATAAACTCTTTAATTGTCTGCACATACATGTTTGTGAATTGTTGCATTATTCAAGAGTGTAATATGGTTTGGTTGCATTATTCAATAGTGTAGCCTAATGTTTTAGAAGAAAAATTTCTGTCATTGTTGAATAGTTTGTGGTTACTGGCTAGTAGTGGCTACTGTGATAGTTACGGTCAATTTGAGCTGCTGATCAAGAATGTTGTGTTGCCACCCACAACGAAAGGTAAGACAAGGATGTAATGACGTAATTCTCTTTCACCACCCCGCTCCTCAGACTTTCCTTCATATCTCGTAGTGGGAATAGGGCCTAAGCGCAATCCTCCATGGACAAGGAGTTGAAAGATATCCTTAAGGACATACGTATCCTGCTTCTCTTACTGAGTCTTACTGAGTCCGGAGTAGAAACTAGCTGAAGCTAAGAAGAGCTGGAGGAATGGAAAAAGGAGTTGGACTCTGAACATTTTCCACAGCCGTTTGGCTACAATCTCGTGAAAATTCAAAAAAGCGAGGAGCGGCTTTTAGGAGCATTCCACCGCCAGCCTTGAGGAAGCCACAAGCTGAGAGACGGAGAAAGACGTCAGGAATCAGAAATCACGACACAAAGAGCACTCAGAGAAATGAGATTTAATCTTAAGAGCTGAGCAGCAAAAGAAAAGCAGGGAACCAGACATCAACAGTTTGAGCCAACTGTGAGAAAGAGAGAAAGTTCACTTCCCGATCAATCCCTCCCCTCCCAGCCTGGAAAAACAAAACATGAAAAAAAACACACAACACAAAACCGCTGCATGTTTCTGCACTGCAACAACAGCTCAAAAACACAAAAAACGCTCAATAACACAAAACTCATCCCAAATGGAGGGAGCACTTAGTGCCACAACAAAGTGGGAAGTCTCTAAAGGTGCAATCTGCAATAGTTAGGCTAATCTTGTTTGATGGTCATCTCAATTAATGCCATTTGGCTGGGAAAAAAACTGGTTAAGAATTGTGCCTTTAAAAGGCAAAAATAGTTAGATTTTCAAGGCAGGCCGGGACATCAGAGTGGTCAAACCCTATCTCCCAGCAAAGAAAACAAAACATCAAAAACACAAAATGTTTCACGAATGGAGGGATAAGGGCCACAAACAGAGGTCTTTAAAAGGCATAAATAGTTTTGGTAGTCCGGGGAAATAGGAGTGATCTGACATGCCCTCACCAGACCCAGAGTGACTGTTTTTGGGGCATGGGGTTGAGGTTAACTAGCCCACTCTGAGACAATTGTGTACACACACACACACACACACACACACTGTGAGAATACACTGCCTCGCTGAGTCCCAGACTGTGGGAAAGTGAGTTTACACAATTACATCACATTGATCTATGGGAGGGAGGGAGGGAGGGAGGGAGGGAGGGAGGGAGGGAGGGAGGGAGGGAGGGAGGGAGGGAACAGAGACGTTTGGACGGGGTCCAAGATTAGGTCCCTGAAGGAACACAAGTCAATAGGTTTCCACTAGAAAACATGATTGATAGGATGGGATAGCGTGGGATGAATGTGGATCGCAGACGGGCAGACAACATGGCCTGGAGTCATACCAGTGTTCAGAATCTTTTTATTGAAAGGCTCACATATGGGAGAGTAAATATTATACAATGAATTCATAACTTCATGGTATAGTCTGATATTAAACCTTTGAAAGGGGTTTATTTGGGGAGATGTCAAGTGAAATTAAATAGCTGAAGTGCTTGAATGCTTAGTTTGAGGCAAATGGGGATCAACAGCGTTCATATTTCAGTGTGCATGCATAGTGAGTTTAATATTAAACTACACAAAAGTATGTGGACACCCCTTCAAATTAGTGGATTCGGCTATTTCAGCCACACCCATTGCTGACAGGTGTATAAAATCGAGCACACTGCCATGCAATCTCCATAGACAAACATGGCACCATCATAGGATGCCAACCTTTCCAACAAGTCAGTTTGTCAAATTTCGGCCCTGCTAGAGCTGCCCTGGTCAACTCTAAGTGCTGTTATTGTGAAGTGGAAACGCCTAGGAGCAACAACTGCTCAGCCGCGAAGTGGTAGGCCACACAAGCTCACAGAATGGGACCGCCAAGTGTTGAAGTGAATAGTGCGTAAAAATCGTCTGTCCTCGGTTGCAACACTCACTACCGAGTTCCAAACTGCCTCTGGAAGCAGCGTCAGCACAAGAACTGTTAGTCGGGAGCTTCAAGAAATGGGTTTCCATGGCCGAGCAGCCTCACACAAGCCGAGGATCACCAGGCGCAATGCCAAGCGTCGGCTAGTGGTGTAAAGCTCGCCGCCATTGGACTCTGGAGCAGTGGAAGCGCGTTCTCTGGAGTGATGAATCACGCTTCGCCATCTGGCAGTCCGACAGACTAATCTGGGTTTGGCGGAAGCCAGCAGAACGCTACATGCCCAAATGCATAGTGCCAACTGTAAAGTTTGGTAGAGGAGGAATAATGGTCTGGGGCTGTTTTTTTTTTAGCTAGGCCCCTTAGTTCCAGTGAAGGAAAATCAACGCTACAGCATACAATGACATTCTGTGCTTCCAACTTTGTGGTAACAGTTTGGGGAAGGCCCTTTCCGGTTTCAGCATGTAAATGCTCCTGTGCAAAAAAGCGATGTCCATACAGAAATGGTTTGTCAAGATCGGTGTGGAAGAACTTGACTGGCCTGCACAGAGCTCTGACCTCAACTCCATTAAAACACCCTTGGGATGAATTGGAACGCCGACTGCGAGCCAGGCCTAATCACCCAACATCAGTGCCCGACCTCACTAATGCTCTTGTGGCTGAATGGAATCAATCCCTGCAGCAATGTTCCATCATCTAGTGGAAAGCCTTCCCAGAAGAGTGGAGGCTGTTATAGCAGCAAAGGGGTGACCAACTCCATATTAATAGCCATGATTTTGGAATGAGATGTTCGACGAGCAGGTGTCCACATACTTTTTACACCATGTAGTGTATCTCTAATTAACAGACTATCTCGTTCAGTAAACAGCACACTGTATACATCACTATGACAATGGTCTTGCTAGTGCAGATGCAGCTGATGCTTTGTGAGTGAGTATTCATTAGGACTTAATGGTGATGAAACAGTAAGTACATCTATGTGTGTGTGCAGTAGTTTTCTCAAGCTAGCCTAGTGCTGTGCATGTATCAACCGACCACAGTGGAACTATGTTATACTGTATATAAACATTGCATTTAGTGCTATAAAACAGGACCACACAGACAATGTGTAGCCTGACCACAGCTGGGATGTCTCTGAATCTGTGTTCTAATGTTCTAGTGTGTATTGTCAGTATTGTGGGATTCTGATAGATGGGTTTAGCTACTAACCACCTGTAGAATTAACTCTGAAGCAAAGCAATGCCCGGCGGCTCAGACTATAAATAATCAGCTTGTTGGAGATGCCCTTCAGCGGCTGTTTGGATGATGCATGTCAAAGCTGCTAAATTATACTGGCAATAATAAAAAACAAAATGATTCACATTTTAGTCATTTCGTAGACATGACCTACAGTAGTGAGTGCATACATTTTTGTACTTTTGTTTTTCCTTCATACTTGTCCCCCGTGGGAATCAAACCCACAACCATGGCGTTGCAAGTGCCATGGTCTACCAACTGAGCTACATGGGACACTGCTAAACTATTAGTGATTTTGTTTGTGGGTAAAATGAACAGAGAAGATTCAAGTTAATGTCAAGTTTATTAAGCTATTGCTATACCATCAAGTTCTTAAAAGAACTCCAGCACAGAGAAGAGAAAGGAGCCTTGAATAATTAAACAACAAATAAACTGCAACATGTCGGCTAAAGCAATTGAATTCAGGAATTAATTCGACTGTTTTTCATCTTGGCTGTACTAAAGACTTTAAAACCTTTTTTGTTAGAAAAAATTGATTATAACGTGTTTGAAAACATGTTTTCAAAATGCCTCCAGCTGTCCATCACAGCTGGAGGCATATATTATTGAATTCGAAAAAAATGAACATACAATTTCCAAATGCATATGTTTGTTAGGCTACTGTGCAGTGTGACAAAAACCAACAGGACAATGATATGTTTACTGTAGCCTACATAGTAAACACAGTAAAGTGCCTTATTCCTTAGATAAGGGAGAGCAAGCCATGTCCAGACTTTCTCGGTGACCTCAAGTACTCATTAACACTGTCTTTAATGCTTTTTCAGGTTCAATCATGGACCCAAACTTCTGAGACACAGTATTCATGATGAACACTCTGAGGTTCATCGGTAAGCCACATTTGCCTCAGGATCCATCCCAGTTGGTATTCTGTGTCCACTCGTGGTATCTCTCTTCAGTTACACATCCTTGGAATAGCAGAACAGCAGAACGGTCCGGATGGCCCTTGCTGTGCCTGGTGAGCAGTTCGTCAAGTTCTGGTGTCAGAAGAGGAATGGAAATGTCAGGGTGAACCGACGACCTGACGAACCCGCCACGATTGTTGCCTGTCACAGGTGGAGTTCCAGAGCTCACAGGTGTGCCTGGCATGGATTGTGACTCCATCTCGTTCCTCGCCCTCTTCAACGCGTCCTTCTCCCGCCTGACTTTCTTGGGAACCATGCAGACAATGACCCAAAACACACTACCGCCCGGGTTAGCAATGCAAATGAGGGCATAAACTGGGTCAAGACACCAGCAGAGTAAGTAGACCTACAACACTTTTCACAGCACATTACTCAACACTGGTGAGACTCACCTCGCCTACGGTAGGCCTACAGTATAAAAATATATATGTTTCGTCTCTACATGTAGGTATCCTGATTTAAACCCGATCAAACTTGTTTGGCATCAACTGAAAACATTCATCCATAACTCTGCCAAGCCTACAAGCAAAGATGAACTGGTGAAGGCCATCAAGACGTTTTGGCTTGAGAAACTGACGATACAACAATGCAATAAATACATGGATCATCTCAGCAAGGTTTTACCCGTGGTCGTGGAGCTGGGGGGAAGTGCATCTAAAATATAGTTGAGATGTAGTTGGAATAAACATCTGCACTTTGAAAGGGTCTTAATCATTATTTTATTAACGAAAACATAAAGATGTTGATGAACAAATACTGTATATGCGTCTATATGCGTGTTACATGGTCCAGTTACAGCTTCTTCTGACAAAGTAGAAACAAAATAAAGTGTATTTTTTTATAGTGTGGGCCTAGGGGACAAAGGAAGAGCAATTCTTACACAATTGTTTTAAATTCAAATCACTCACTTCTTCTTCATCCTCATCATTCGGTCCATTCAAATTCAATTGTAATGCATTTTGTCACTCCCGTTCAACAACTCCAAATCGCTTTTGCATGTGCTCCAAAGGGATAACTTCAAATAACATGATATCGGTTAATAAAATATTCGAAAGGAAAAATGTGATTATTTATTAGCCTAGTGGATATAAGTATTTTAGGCATATCAGGTGAATTAGGCCTCATGTAAAATCTTTGTCAAAAGTGCAAGAGATACTGTTGCATGACAAACAGGTGCTGTTAGATTACAATATAATTTATATGCCAGTTTGGAACAGTGTAAACAATACAAAATAAAGTATAAGTAATACCAGAGAGTCTGTTCTAATGAAAGAAAAATGTGTAAAGCCTTTAATACAGCATAGCAAAGTTTAAAAACCGCCTGATTTGTGAAATTGCTTTATCTGATATTTTGCATGAGGCTTGGTGATCACAGAATCATTAGGATATTAAACAAACACTCAAATAGCCAACAGAAGCAGGAACAGAAGCATAGGGCTGAGTGACTCACTCATTCCTGGCTTTCATTCAAAATAAGTTATATTATAATGTTATATTAAAGACACATTCTTTCTGATTGTCTTTAGCATGCAGTCTCTCGCTACAGCTAATTTTGTTAGAATTATTATGTGGATTATAATAAATGAATATATTTGTAGGGGTTGATGCATTTTTCATTAGGGCAAACCTGGTCTGTGATATTGAGTTAAAAACGTAAAAAACTTTAGAGTACTTAAGCCTCGAATACATTGCAAGTTTACCCTTTTTGACAATTAGGCTACACAATAGGACTCAACACTAACTGACCGCAGCATCTATCGGTAGTCTAAACTGTGGCACAAACTGGGGGATTTTTCACACCTAGCCGAGCTATTAGACTATCCTTTTCTAAATTAATGGAGGTGTGAGTGTTTGTCAGTCTCTCTCCTACTGCACTAGAGTCTGCATCAGGCAAAAAAAAATCTGCTGCCGGGTGTTCCCCGGGTGTTCCCCTTCGGTAAATACAATGGAGCAATTACATGTGGATTGACGATTTTTGAAAAATAGGATGCTTGTGTCTTCCAGCCCATTACATAAACGAAGAGTGGCTGTTATCCACCACAGAGTGGGACACTGCAGCTCAAAACTGCAGATAACATAAGGCCAGCTATTGTGAAAGAATACTTGTGGATCTTGTTGATTTCATCTATCGCTTCAAGAGGCCTACTGTCCACCTGGTAATTGTGTGGTTCCAAAGGACCTACAGATGGATGTGTGGCTTCAGAGAGAAGCCAGCTGCGAGCCTGCGACCAGGCATGGTGGATGACATAATTTTCCTGCACAGCAATTTGAAGAAATCTAGTTATGAATGGACTGTTTTTGAAGTTAATGTTTTGGTATATTTATTTGTTGTCTAATATTAGAAGGCAGAACAATAGGAATATCAGCCTACTGTCTGTAGTCTTAAAAACAATTAAGCTAACAATTAGGCTAAATAAATTAAATTGATGTTATTTTGTTGGGTAACTGATCGACTCTCGGAACTCATTCAGAGGCAGCTTCTATCTTCAATATAATCATTCATTCAGAAGGTTACACCCATAGGTTTTAGATTACCAGGTTCATTTTTCATTAGGTTATAATAATCCATGCCTTCTGGGAATGTTAAAAAGTCAAAAAGTTATGGGTGGGGTTAAAAATTTGCCTGTCAGAAGTATAACAACGGAAATTAACTTTTAATCCGTCTGTCTGCATATTTCAAAACATGGCAGATAAGGGTGCAGTGAGATACCCGATGGGTTGGATGACACTTTTCTCGTCAATCATCTTGAAAAAACATATGCTTAAAAACTGAAAATCAACCAATGTCAGCATTTAAATGCTTTATTATCCAAAAGTTGAAAGTGCGTGGGCGTCAGAGAGAAACAAAATGGTGCAGTTTGAGGCCATGTGGCGGAGAGTGATGCGTTCGTTTGCATTCTTCATTGTAACCACAATGTCACAAATAATTGAACACACACACACACACACACAAAACATGACCAGATTAACTTACTCTTTAATAAATAAATGTTTTGTCCATCAGAAAGAATGTTGGTACTTATTTATTTTTGATCCAAAGCCATGGATGAGTGAGTCACTCAGCTTTATGCTGACAAATGTAGCTTAAAGCTGCAAAATAGCCTACTAAATAGGCCAAGCCTAAACAAATAAATTAAATTGCCCAAATAAACTAGTACATTTCATAAATAAATGAAGTAGCTCAGGTCTTGAAAATATGTAAATAAAATACCTTTTAACCCTCCCTATCCTCGCTGGACTCTCTTTTATTCAGTTTCTTCTTCACATCAACAAAGAAGGACTCAAACTCACTTTATATAGAGGGGCTTTCACTCTTTCACACTGTGGTAAATAAAGCCAGTTTGTTATTTAGAATTCTTTCTTCTTTCTGTTTTTAGAGGGAGAGAAACCAAAAGCATAATCAGTGTTCTAATGCCACATTGTGATAGTGTGGCGCAATGACGCAATTTACCACAATCTGCCACCATCTACCACAAGCGGTCACGGCATAAGCTCGGAACTTTTAATTAAGGAACCACTGTAATATCTTGTCAGTCACAGGCATTGTGATAAAATATTAGGGTTGTGGGGTGGGGGTTGGGGGGTTCCTGCTTTCACCAAATCCAGACACAATCACAGGGGGATTCTTGGGCTAGAAAATGAAAATAGTGTTTTTATCTCTCATTAATTTGAATGAGACTGGGTGCTTTGAGCTTTGATGGAAGCTAGGAGCCAGATGTGACTTGTTTCAGGAAAATAGGCGTATATCGCGCGCATCACTACATCACAGGAGCGGCATTTGAATGTAAACATTAATTTCTTATCAAAATACGTCATCTTTGGTAGAAATGTATTCTGGAACATGTGAACTTTTGTGTGCCTTAATAACAAACTTGTATGTCATCTGTTGTATAAAAACCTGTCCCCGGATTACATCTTCAAACGAAGGGCAACCATGGCATCCGTGACAGAGAGGGAGAAGCGTTCATCCATATATAGGGGTAAGAGAGTCTAGCTAGCTACATTTTCAGATATTATATGTTTTAAATCTTTGTCAGAAAGACGTTTTCATTGCATGTTAAAGCATACTGTTAGCTAGCTAGCTAACGTTAGCTGGCTGGCTCGCTAGCTAACGTTACATGTATGATATGTCTAGTAATATGATTTGTATCTCAGAGCCATTTGCATTGCTAGTTATAGCCTAATGTTAGCTAACATTGAACCTAGTTGGTTAGTTTTAGCTACCAGCAGATTCATGCAGGGTAGTAACGTTATGAGTTGGGATTATGGTTAATTGCTTAGCTAGCTAGCTACATGTCTAAACAAAAGAGTCTACTATGCAAGTAACCATTTCACTGTACCGTTTACACCTTCTGTATCCTGTGCATGTGACAAATCAACTTTAGATTTTATTTGATATAGTGTGTGTTTACCAGAGACGGAAATGTGAAGAACAACATGACCTGCACCAAAGTCAAATTAGGATATAACGTTAGGCCAACAAGACAGTGTCCAAGTTCTAAAATTATCCGGCAGAAAGCCCTGCTTTTATTTTGTCACACTCACAACCGTAAGCTATTTTCTCAAATTAGCTCGTCATTAACTTGTAAATAATAATCTTGTTGTGAGTTTATTTTCCTGTAATAATGAATACAAATTAACTGTCAGCTAAATGATATGGTCATTCTTTGAACTGGCTAGCCAGCAAACTTAACGTTAGCTAGCTAGCTAACAAGCTAGAAACTAACCAAAACATTGTTTAGAAAGTTGACATATACTAAATTCATTTTTAAACAAATGGGTTTATTGGTGTTAAAATTCACCAGTTATGCAATTTTGGACCACCAGGCTGCTGATGTCATGCAGCCTGTCGTTTTTGTGTTTATACTTTTCATAATGACAAGACAAGTTGATAACGGACGACAATAGAATGTGCATGATGTCACTGCGACAACTGTCTACATGTCGATAGAGGTAGTATAAACCAGCCTTTAATCTAGAAATCTTTGGTTGTTTAGTACACTACCGTACTCACTCTGTTTAGCACATGGCCTCACATGTGAATCCTTAAAGAGATGGGTAGGGCTAAGGCTTAAGAGGGTGTGAACAATGCTGAATGGGTGTAGACAAAGTATAGCTCTCCAGTTGGCGTATCAAAATATTCAAGGATCATTTTCTCAAAAGGGGGGTTACAAGTTTATCAACTTTCAATGCAGAATTACTTTCCCATTGTTCCTCAATTGTAGTGTATGATATACCATTTTCTAGCTCTGAGTCTTTAGTTTTATCCAATGTAAAACACACAATTGCAAATTTTGCTACATAAGACACAAATGGTAAAGATATGGACGTGGCAGAGAGATAGGCATAGCTTTAGTATAATAATGAGGTAGAAAGATACTAAATTGTTTTTTTGTCTGTGTCTCTTTTCAACTCCTTGGAAATCTCAGCCTCTGATCTATGGTGTCTCGGGTTCCTCAAAAGCATGACAAAATTAACTTTGGGGTCGGGCTAAAAGGCGGTGGCATAAATATCTAGGCATGAGTAAGGTCCAAGCAGTTTTGGTGGGGGAGTTTGTAAAGCCTGAAGCTTAGACTGGTTTGCGTTCACTAGGAACAAAACGGAAGAAAGCGGTATTGAACTGAGTGTAACATGTTGCATAAGCTTCATTTAATGAACACGGTCC